AGAGTGATAGACATCGACATCAATGCCAACATCGCCGAGCAAGTTGGCAACCTCTTGAAGCTCATCGTCGCTGGCATCGAGAAGCATGAGTACCAGTTTGCCCCCGTTGGAGTGGCCGCGGCTATCGGTAAGCCAGTAGATCCATTCGTTGATCGGTGTGGTTTCCGGGTCCATGAATCGCTTAAAGGTCGTCGAGACACCGAACATGAAATCGCTTGCATTCACGGACGAAGGTAAGCCGGAAGCGGGAACCTGCACCTCGAGAGGCTTTTCGCACGCATCTTGTCTGTAGTGCTTGTTGACATCGATGGTCTTGAAGGCTCCATTCAGCAAGTTTTGGGAGATCTTGGTCATGCGCTTTCGTTCCAGACCCTCAACGCGGGTGAAGCGAATATAGCGCTTCATGTATTGGAATCTTTCATTGATACTGTACTTTTCCCTGATCTTTTGCAGATGTGGCATATCGACACTGCAGTTGAGGTTGAAGTTGTTTGAAACGCCGGTTTTATAATCACCAGGTACGCTGGGGGGCAGGCTGGGGTCCTCGAGTGGTTTCTGTTCGTGGACGGTGTTGGCTTTGACGCCCGTCTTTCCCCAGAGTTCAGAACGGACTGATATCGATTCCTTTCGGAGCATGGTCATGAGCACAAGAAGCACGCATAATGCGGCAAGAAGGGCGCGATAGAACGAGCTTCGCATTGTCACGGAGCGTTTGGGCCCTGTCAGCATTATTCCCATGATGTGTCGAGCAGTTCGTCCTTGTAGACCACTGAAACGCATCAACCAGCGAGCTGATGGGGACTATTGGACTGCCGATGTACCCATCCACGAATGATTGCGACTTCTAAATGAGCACGTACTGTTGCTTCTTCGTATCCGGAAAAGGACGAGTTGCCGGGATACGAGTGCAGAGAAGAAGACTGGTGGAATGGCAATACCGATTGTAATTCGAAGAGTCGAGTAAGAAAAAAGAAGAAGAAGAAGAAAAGAAAACGAAGGCGCGTATTGAATAGAGAGTTTCTCCCAAGGCACGCTATTTTGAACTTGGGCGTGCTAGACTATGGCGCAGTCAAAAAATGAACCTCTTTTCTTGGTAGATAACGACAGGTATGAGTGGTCGGCGCAATGGCACTGGAAACGAGAGAGGGAGGGAAGCGGGATTTGGTGTCCCGAATCAATGTCTGGATTCGACGTCCCGCGTGGAAAGATGAAGATGGCATCAACAACAGAAGCAGAAACAATGGAAAGATGCAGGGGTGAAAGGACAAAGGAATAAAGGAAGAAAGGGGAAGAAACGGACAGAGGGAGCAGAAAGCAGGGTAGAGTTTGGCGGTGCAAAGTCTGTGGTCTGTGTGAGGGAAACAAGCTCCAGATGTCTGGCCGCAGAGGGAAGGAGCGACGTCCATCTCCAGTTCAAATGTTCACACCGCGGCGCAAGACCCGTCTGGAATCTGGTACAGTCCATGTTGCCAAAAATTATGGCGTCGGTACCAGCACAGTCAAATCTCGAGCCAAATGCCCCCCAAACCGCACCGACCAACTCTCTTGGACACTGTTGACGCTTCAAGCCGCTCATTGGCGCCGCTGAAGCTTCCAGCCAAAGCCCGTGGGCAGGCGGCCAAAGACCAGGTACCAGTCAGGGCTCAGACCGCGCACCCAACAGAGACGGCGCGACAGCTGACGAATTCCCAGTGTACGAGGCCAACTTTGGGTACGCAACAAACAACACATGCTCACCACCGCCGTCTACCACACTTGCAGTCGAGGATGCCCAGGGATGAGCGGGGGCTGTGGTCCAGCAGCAACCAGGGACCTCACAGGGGCAGCCATGGAGGTCTGGTCTTGGGCAAGGAAAAGCGGAGTGGTGGGTGGTCCCCCAGCGTCTCAAGATGAACAAGATTAGGTAGGTGATGTGTAACAGGACTCCTAATAAAACTGTGGCCCGTGCTACCTTGTTTCGAGTCCAACGGACAGGCTCCCTGGTCCCAATTTTTATACCGCGATGACCCACGCAACGGCAATGCCTCGAGGCCACACAGTTTCACCGGGCGCTGCTCATTGATTACTGCCGGCTCGCAAGCTCGTCAATGCGGCGGGCCAAGGGGGGGCGGATCAACATCAAGCACACTGTGAAGATGGCTGCGATCTTCATCCCACAAGGGCAGCGAGCAGCATAACACGAGGCTGATCCCTCGACCTTGGCCTGCCGAAATACGAATCCCAAGTCTGAACAAGCGCAAAAGGTCGCTTGTTTAACGCGTACGCCAAATACGGGCCAGCTGGCTGTTTTCGTCTTTGGATGCCACTTGACCACGAGCCGCCCGACAACTCGATCTTGTCCACGACGTTGAAGCCGCTCTCCAAGTCGAATAATGCACCTTTGTCTACTTTGGCCAATAGCGAGGGGGAAGAAGGTTTCCAGTTCGGTTCATCAGTGATCACATTCGGATATTTTAATATACATATTGATTGGACCAGATCTTTGAGGGTGACAGAACTGTCAGGAGCGCTACTCCGTACTCCGTACGTGGCCACACACACACAAACACCAGACAGCAGCAAAAGCCAAGCCATGGGTTCGGCCCTGTGTGGCGCTGAGATCCCTGGAGCGCCTGCATCTGGGCGGCTGGGGCAGGAGGTGATATTGGCATCGGCAAACAAAGCCAGCCCGTGATAGAATTTCAAGGCCAGATAAGCGCGCAGAAACCGGTTTGCGGACCTTGAACGAGTTCATACTCAGGCATGAGCTGACGAAATGTTCAGCAAGTCGGACATGCTACCATTCCGGATTCCGTACTCTCCCTTCTTCGTGTACATACACGTATCTCGGCACTGTGTAATGGTGAAGAAAAACCGGGTCCCGATCGACAATTGAACGCGCAACGTCAGCTGTGGTTGTGTGGCAATGCGAAACATGGGGAGCCTCGGCGGTAGAGGTTTGGTCACACCACATCCTCCAAGCCTGTAACAAGGCCACTCCTGGCTGCTGGAACAACCCGGCATTACTCGGGACCATCCTTGTAGCTAGGAGTGCGCCTCGAAGCTGTGCCGAGTTCACTGCAATATATAACACGTGGCCTACGAAGGATCATTAAGGGATTGCACCTGCAATGCCCCGTACCGATTAGCGAGCGTAGTGCTGCCATCATCAAACTTGTTCACCACGGGCATGATGTGAACCAGGGTATTACGAAGACGGCCTCTCCAGCCTCGCAATTGGATAAAGCGTCATTGAGTGAATTTCGGCCCATGATGAGAATATACCCACTCATAATTTTGGCTGGTTGCAGCAAGGACTGGTTGAGCGAGCGGGTACAATTAATCTCCCGTTGGCTAGTGTCCCTCGAGATAAGCATTGGCACCCTATTGGCCTGACATTGCAAAGGTTACGATTCGCTTCAAGCATGGACATTTCTCGGGGAATTTCATGCAAGTCAAGGAGGAGAGTCAGGAGATAAAAGTTCGGAAGAAAAAGGTCCGCGGCACTCTTTGAACGGGATCTGAGTCCCACCAGACTGTCGCGCCAAACGCGGTTCATGTCTGGTCTTGTTCCTCTTCTCTGTCAATTGCAATGCACTACTCCGTACAGAGCACTCCGCACCTGACACGTTATTACAAGCCCGCTGGCCCCACCAAATAAAATGGAGACGGCCAAGACGGTCCCAACATTGAACCCTGGTTCGCCAGATGAGCCGGACAAAAAGCCAAGTCTTTGCCAAGGGTAAAAGGCAATCTAGCCCACGTGTAATTCTAGTCTGTTAAGAGCACTCGACCTAATAAGCTTGGGAAATCAGGCATCTTGGCTCCTGGAAGTAATTGATGGCCTGGGTTTATCACAAGAGCATTGTGATTTCGCATCTTCACAATGTAATTGTGTTGTTGTGCACGTTGAGCAGTTCGGCAAGATCGGTAATTTGGCGCGAAACTGTATTGGTTTCAATGTTCGCTCCGAACATCACATGTGCAGCGAGTTGGCCCTGAACATCAGTCATTTGGCTCTGGACATCAGTGACTTGTCTCTGGACACTAGTCTTAGGAATTCCAGCATCACACTCCTCCACTACCGCTGGAACATGCCGAGGACTGAGCTCAGACCGGATCTTGGCCATGATTTGAGTTTTTACGTCTTGGCTGAAGCTCAGTCTAACCGTGGGATATCGCTCCCAAGGCACGCTGTTAGCTGTTAGCAGAAGCATTCTGCTAGAAGAAGTCTCTCATCGCCAAGAGTACCTTGTCGAGGTAAGTTCAATGCAATAATAGCATGTCTCCGTGCGGAGCGATTTCCGCAGTGAAAGCCCTAGATAGCTGGACTGTGAATTGCTCGGCGGGCTTACTTTTTTTACTGGGTGCGCTTATGCTTTACTTGATACCTTTTTATAAGGTATTATATTATAATATGCTGGTATATATTTTGAAGCAATCAGCAAATGAAGCAGTAGGGCGCCCGCCGAGCAATTCTCGCTGAAGTCAGCTACATACCTGGGTAGGTTGGTAAATGCCGAGTACTGATAGCACCAATACCAGCAAGATGCAATAATCAGCCTAATCTGTTCAACGTCCAGTCAATCGGAGGACCCGGCTGATTGATCAAATTGCACAACGACTCGCAACTATACGTGGCTGCGAATCGTATATAATTGCCGCCAGCCGTTACATGCAACCGGCGGCTATCCCGCTTGTTACCATCCTGCAGGGTACATCCGTGTTTGCGGACAACGATGGGCACTCTTTCCGCGACGAGTCTTAAATAAAGCTACACACAGCTTTGAGTCGAGGGCCTTGGCGAAGAGTCACAGCTTAGCTAGTCCCAATATCTTCAAGACATGCAGATATATATTACACGGTGAGGACCCAATCATAAAGCCTGACAAAGGGGCATCGCCGACAAAGAACCTCGAGATTACAAACTAAACACATGACCTGATGGAAACCTTGGGTACAGCTGTTCCCTTTACAAGTATTATAGAATCTTCTTTCTCGCTGCGAAAATGATTGTCAAGATGGCTCTCAGAGCTGTGCTCATTCTATTACCACTTCCAACTACTATTGCAGTGCCAATACTTGGCGGAGAACCAACTGAAGCCAATGAACTACCTAGTACTGTTGCAATAAGAAGAGAAGGCGGCTGTGAAAAAGATGTCTGCGGTGGCGCGTTAATAAGCCCGGATACGATTGTTACAGCTGCTCATTGTTCTGAAAGCAAAGAGACAAAAGAACAAGTCCATGCGGGATCACTTGTAAGTTTTAATATTCAAGTGATGTTCAAAGAAATTTCTAATACAACACTGCAGGATAGGCCATCAGGTGGTATTATAGTCGACGTGTTATCCATTCACAACCACCCTGAATACAACTCTCTCAATGGAGATAATGACAGTCTGGAAACTATCTACTCTAATTCCCGAGAATAATTTAACCATCCGCTATGCTGAGTTGACAAGCGAGCACGATTATCCCTACATCTTTCTACCGGAAATAATTATAGGCGGTTGGTATGTTTAACCAGAGAAACAGTCTTCCCCTTTGTCTTTGTATCGAATTCTAGTATTTAGTTAGGGGTGTGTCAAAGTTAGGCGGTGTTCCGACAAGGCATATGCGTAAAGTACACCTTCAAGTGATGACTCGAGAGGCATGCGCAGAGACATATGAAGATAGTGCTTTCCCGCTTCCGATACAGAGTATATTCTGCGCAAGTTCAAAAGAAGGCGTCAAAGATGCTTGTCAGAAAGATAGTTGCGGCCCAGCTTATAAGCAAACACCAAAGCATTTACCGGCCTTGTAACAACTGGCTAAGGCTGTGGAAATCCTGCATATATATTATGATCAGTAAATATTTACCGTATACTGGGCAATTCTTGTACTCACGCTTGACTATAGCTTCTTTAAAAGCGTACGAAATATGATCAGAATGCTCTGATTTAGGCAAACGTAGTAAGGAAGATTACTCGATTAGCTTGCCTACCTATAATCTGTGGCAGGATATACTCACCAACCGACAAGTATACACTAATACATTTCCAGGTATTCAACGTCAAATCTATGGCAGCCGAAATGGGATTGCCGCAAAAGACAAGCTCTAGTTGTCGTGACGGCCAGCAGACACCATACAGGCCATGGTCATCATACGGCCAAATTTGGCTTTCGTTTCGCCAGTTACAGCATGGCCTACCGAATGGCATGTCACTCTTCTGCTCCTATTGAGTATCCGGTTGTAGTGGCAAATGCTGGCAGTATTTTTGAGCACCGTAGTCTTGGATATCTTCCCGATCTAGCCATCAGACCTCTGGCAGCCATGGTCAGTGCTGGTTACGAAAGACATCGCCGTGATGGCTCGGCACAAAAATTTGAACACGTGAAAAGACGGGCTGGCAAATGTGTGAAAACGGTACTCCTGAGGGATGTTGTACTTTCCAAGTCCCGTATCGAGCATGGTCCCGGCCATAATTTTGGCATTATCATGGCCCGGAAGATCCCAAAAAGGGTCAAGAATAAATCTTTGATAGGAGAGCTACGCAGAGAACTGTGATGGAACGATCTATTCAGGATATAATCCAACATGATACTTGGATACAAGCCTAATTAGGTGCGTTGGCAACGTGGCCGAGATTCGGAGCTCGTCTGTGCGACATGTCCTCCAACATGAATAACTAGATGTTGCCCTTTATGCCAGGCTTATTTCCCTCCGTCACTGCATCACGAAGAAATTAACGACCCCTCGCCCAAAAAATTACGCCGGCGCCGCTTGCGGCGTAAAGGATATCGACTTCCAGCAAAAGGCATGAGAGCCCGTATTCACAAAGAATGGCAGTCTGGTCGAGTAGACTGCCCTAATGCTATTATCCGGCGTAGAGCTGGTCCCTGACCTGCTGGCCGCCACAACGAAACGCTCGACATCTGGCTGTACAGCTCCTAATATACAAGACCAAGAGCATAATTCCTTGGCTATTCATATATAAATCCGTATACAAAGTTTGAGTTTATTCTCTCTTGAGAAGGGATGTAAATAGACTATTCGCGTCCAAAAGATATTCATGTTAACACGTGGTACGCTACCGGGCCTCGTATCCCCGTGCCGTGTGTGAGAGATAGTGTCAACACTATACATTCTAGTAGTTTGTATAATCTAGAGGGTGTATCTGTGACAAGGGCTCAATAGAGGGCTTGGAGCAATAGCTCAATTCAACTAATGACAGTTTTTGGTATCAAAGGTCCTTGGTTTTCCTCAAGGCCTTGAGGGACCGAAGACGTCTATTTATACAAGAAGTCGGTGAGGGCCTTCTGCCCTAGGTCCCGTGACCGTAGCCCTTGTGTAACCTGCGATTTCCGTGTAACAGTATCACGTTATTATTTCGGGCTGGTGATGAATAACGGCAACCAAGAAGGGCTGCCTCTAGTGTCCTGTATCGGTCGTGTATGGTAGCTGGTTAAACCCTTCACCATGCTCGCCATTAAATATTGCACTTGCTTTCAAGTAGTATGCCAGTGTTTATAGTTGCAGAGTGCGGTGTTAGTAGAGGCTACCACCGTCTACTAGAATCGTGAACAGATTAGGTCTATTGGCACCCTAGAGACGCGATATATGAACATGCAGCGTTGTGTCCGTCACAACTCAAGCTTAGTGTTCCTAGCTAGTCATTGCTTGGCGCCAATTTAAAGCACGGCTCTCAAGTGCTGGTTTGTGACTCGATATCGATGTCATGAGTAGTCCACTCGCAGTCAATAGGGAGGACAAGGATCCTTGTTCGGGTTTTCGCATATTCCGGGGTTCCCTCATTCGAATTCAACGGAGCCAATCACTTTTCGACATTCGCCCGTAGCCCCTATTTCCAATATCCACTTTCAGTGTTGGCTCCTGGTTCCAGTGGCCTCCATCTTCACACCGCTGTCTTCAGACATAGTGGGCGACAGTATCCCAAGATATGACCAGGTTGTCCCATGGGCTTGTAGGTCGACCTGCAAATGACTCAAAAAACATTCAGTCCTTAGCATCAGCATCACGAGACAAAGAGAGAGGGCGTTTCGTCCGCTATGGAGCATATCCCCGACGTCCAAGCCGACCACGGCGCGCCCAACACATTTCCTCTTACAGCACAGCAAGTTGAAGATACAATACGAGACTTCATCGATTCAATAAGCAAAGCCGCTGTTTGTGATTTGGCATCGAGGTATAATGGCGGAAGATGTTGCAGAATAGTCGATCAGCGGAATGGCAGCTTCAACATCTGTTTCTTTATTCTCTTTGATGCCGATGTCACATGGGTGGTAAGAATACCAATCGAGCCAGTGACCCGGAATGCCTGGGCCAAGGTCGTGAGTGAAGTGACAACCATCCGGTAAGCTTCATCGATTCGCGTACAGACGCATGGATAATAAATAAGTAGCCTTTACAGGTATATTAAACACAATACGACGATTCCTATTCCCGAAATACACGCATATGGAAAAGATACAACACTAGTGAAAGGAGCTTCAACTCCATTTATACTGATGGAATTTATACAAGGTCAACAACTTCACACGAGAACCGTCTTCCATGCCGCAGAACACCAACGGCGAAACTTATATATTGGTCTTATCGACACCTTGGCACAATTACGCAAGCTTGAGTTCTCAGCTGCGGGTTCGCTAATGCCTAACCCGGACAATCCGGATGACGAGTCAAATCCTGTTCTGGGCCCCTTCCTTTCCATGACTGTTAATGAATTAGAGCGGAAACTAGAACGGCCAGTGTTGACTGAAACCTTCACGTCTGTGAAACGCTTCATGGACCTTCATTGTCATATATTATCGCAGACATTTCAACTGCCCGTTGAAGAGCTCGACCGCAGGCAGGCAAAAATGGAGCTATTTGCCCTGGAAAGTGTATCGAAGGAGATCCCAAAACACATCCAGCTGCAAGAAGTACCAGAGCGCCCATATATATTAGCCCACCCGGATTTAAGATGTGGCAATATCATGGTTGACGATGACTTCCATATTCTGGGCATCATTGACTGGGAGTTTACGAGTACAATTCCCCAACAGATTTACATACCACCACCATGGATCACCGGCCATGACCCTGATACACTTCTTATGGTGACTGGTGTGCCGCGAGACCAAATTTGGCTAGAATTTCGCAGAGTCCTGGAGGAGTTGCACAAGACATCAAGCGGTTGGACGCAGTTATGTCAAGATTGGGGATTGTTGCACCAAGACGACACACAAAGTCAAGATTTTCTCCTGGAACTGTCACCGATAGTTCAAATACTACGTCACCCTTCTAGCCTGATAGATGTGTACTACCCTTCCATTTTTCAACGGCTATTCGGGTCTGAAACGCGTAGGGATGCCGTGGTCAACGAGTTTTTTGAACAGAGTAAAAATCAAGCTATTGCAGAGCAAATTGAGCTTCATATTCAGAAATCGGAGCGATACACCGAATACTTGCGCAACAACAATTTACTCATTCCGTATGAACGGCCTCAGCAGATCCAGGAATTCTTGAAAAGGGCAAAGGCTTTGTTACAGGCTGGAGAAGCACGTCACGGCAAGGAGATTGAGGAATAGCCTGAGAGGTCCATTTTAATAGCCATAGCCTTGAGTCTGCGCCTCTAATTCCCGCTCCCACTCCTGCAACTCAGTCAACTTGTTCCACAACCTGCCATTAACCGCCTCCTTTTCAACCAGATTTAGCGGCAAGAATGGTGGAAGACAGACTGTTTCTGCCTGACGCAACCACAGGATTCACAGCATTACGTCCATGTCCTTTCTCAACTCGATGCTGTCAGGTTAAGAATTAGGTAATACTGAAAACGGACAATGAGACGGCGTACGTAAGCAGTGTCTAGCGATAATGAGAGACGGTTTGCCAAGAAGCTTATCAATTTGACGCCTCTGGAGGCTAGGGGCCATGGTGTGAACCTCGCCCAGTACTTGCAAGTTATTAGGACGAGTGTTTTCAATTAGATCGTGACTGCTTTAATAATTCATTTCCATAATACGAGCCTAATTAAGCATAATTGTTGGAATGTTAATCATTTACAGTGGCATTTCCTTTGCTATTTCCCCCAGGGCTACAGCCAGATGCTCTTCTTAAGCGCGGGGCGGTTTCTCGGCTGCGTTGACCTAGACTCAATGATTCCAGATGCATGATTATTCTTACCCACCAAATATAGTTTGTACGATCTAAAAGAATAAGACTTCTTGCTAAAACTCGTCGATTTAGTACCTTTTGCCTATGTGCACATTAGTAAATCTGCAAAGAAAAACGATATCAGGGGCTGGTGTTGACACTTTGCTTCGGGGTTTTCTGCTGCGAGTAAAACATTTTGTGCTCCCTAGCAAGAAAGATCTTTCTGGTGATTAATGTAGACGTAGACTCGCTTCCGCATTCATTTTGCAGGATGTTCACCAAGAAAATGGCCAAATCGGCAAGATCAGGCTGGCTTCGAATGTCTAACTTCAAAGGAAAAGCGTAGCGAATAATCTCTAGAGATAAGTACAGTTTTTGGACACCTCGTTAATTGTGAATGTGAAGAGAGGTTTACGCACAACGAATATAGGGTGCAAAGACAAGTCGTCGAACATATGATACAATATCACACCTCCAGGTACACAAGTTGGTCCATCTCCGGGTAGTCTAGTTGGTTTATGGCGTCTGACTGTAATTGTCTATTCAGTTGAATCAGAATGTCGCGTGTTCGAATCACGCCCGGGAGATTTTTTTGCTTCAGCATATCACGGTTGTCTGGTTTGGGTTCACCTGACTCAGGGCATGGACAAGGGATAACAAGCCGGGGCACCCATGCCAGCAGATAGAGACATGGAGTCTTTTCCAGCGTTATTATATGTAATACACAATACACCGTCTATAGTGATAGGTTTGCTTATCAAGAAGTGCACACTAATATACTATCATATGGGTTGTGCTATTTGGGCAGCCAAAATCTGGATATATCCTCAGGTACCGGACGTGGTTGAATGCTTTTTGTCCCCCACTGTAATGCAGTACTCAAGATGGGCTATCAGGTTAGTATAGCATGTATTACCTTGTTTTAATGACGAACTTTCCACACACACTCGTGTACATTTCTTCGGGCCGCCCCAAATTCGAAACGAAGCTGTAACATCAACAGCCGACGAGTCGACGGGGTATTGATAAAACTGGGGTCTGTTGCCATAAACAGAATGGTCTATGTACCGAGCATTTGGTCCCATTTGTATGGCCCAGAGTTCTTCCGAGTTTTGTGTCGGCATCTTAGTCTAAGAACTATTACCGAAGGGACGGCACTGAAAGGCCGAACAGCCAGTTAGGGCAACGCTAAGACGACCAGCCTCATCTCACAACACTGTGATGGCTCAATTGGCTCATCATGGACGGCTGCGGCAAGGAAGACGGTGCCAATACCGTCAAAAATAAGAACGCGCTCTAATCAGACAGCAACCATTTATACCCCCTCTAAGTGGAAGAGAAATAACCCACTTAGTTGCCAACGGGTATATTCCGTTAATAAATACCCGCAGCTGAACCACCACCAGGTTCGCCGGTGCTTGCGATTGAAGCGGCGGTCTAGAACATATCTCTCCCGATACAGGAGACTGTAGACACGTCCTAATGGTAATGTACCCGGCCCGAAATGAAAGCAAACGAATATTGACAAACTTGCTTTCGTGTCAGCCAGGTCCAGATCTAGAGGAGATTCTGCAGGCGGCATGCGGCGAATCACAAGAATGGAACCATGAAGAAAACCAACAGAATTGCGCATAGTTAACTTAAAAGAATAAGAAACAAGACGTAAAAATACGAAATAAGCAGAAAAATACAAAACAAGACATGAAAACATAAAACAGGACATGAAAACACAAAGCAGGCCTGGGCACAAACAATCTGGTAGCTCCCACGGTGGTCGCGAGCCGCAAAAAAAAAACTCGCCAATAATACCAAATCCTCCTTTGAGAAACCAAAGACCATGTTCAGTTTTCGAAGATGTGCTGTAACACGGTCAAAGTAGCGCGGCTTGGAACGCGAGGTTCAAGCTTAATTTAATAAACAACTTTAGGGAACAAAAGGTCCTTGGTTTTCTAAGAGGCCGAGAGGGGTCAGACGTCTCTATAAATGTAAGAAGTCGGTGAGCGCTAGAGGCTTGAGGCAGCCCTCGCCAAAGTCTGACTCTGAGCTCTCGTGATACGTTTATTGCCCGATGTCTTTGTCCAGGTTTTGACCGTGTGACACGTGCAAGGATGACGGAGCCCATAACTCGGCTAGTTCAAGTGCTTTCTGAGACCCATGATATGGCATTAAAGGTGACTGATAGTGGTCTCGGTACTTAAATCGGCCTTTATCAATGGGAGAAGCCGAGATGCGCCCCCGATAGTCCAATCGAAAACCAAGGGCTTCATAGATGCTTCCGACTGACAAGTTCGGGCCAGCGAGAACCTCGCTAATGTCGGTAGATTGGATAAAGCCACCCCTGCGCATTAAACAAATGACCTGAGTACTAGGATATGTTAATAATAAAGTAAATTTATATACTATATTACATAAAAATATAATATTATGTATCATGATAGATTAGTAAAATACTTACATCCAATCGCGACACCCAAAATACTTATTATCAATGCAGACAAACTGGAACTCGGACGCTGCATGGTAGAATAGCAGCCTAAGAACATCGCCAACTTTCCAGGGGTGAATAGGTAGACTGCAAGTCCAAAGTGATTTGCTAGAGGGATTAGAACTGAGGGAAGGGCTGGCTATAAAGTCGCCACATTGAAAGATAACTTGTCGGCCATCTATAGACTCTCCCTCGCTCTGGTACTTAAAGTTGACATATACCTCTAGTCGCATACCCTCATAGGTCCCACATTTATCCGCGAAGATGATCTTAAACACTGCATGGTTGGCAGCCTGCTTCTTTTCGGCGATGCCTTCTTCGCCATGTTGGCCTTGTTCTGGCGTTGTTGTCTTCAAGAGCTCAACATACAATTTAGAGCACACGGTCTGCAGGAATGATTGAGGCAATGCATTTCGGTTCTCCGACAGGTTAAAAGATATTCGATCACCGGTCTGGGAGTCCATCGAGAGGGTAACGGGAAAGAAGGGAAGGTGAGCATGTACATCAGGTGTGTAGGAGAGGAAGTAGCAGTTCTTGGCAGCACCAGACACTTTAATACTCCTCGACGTGACTGAAAGATTCTAAGAATGAAACAATGCAAGGCTTTGCAGACTATGAACCGTTGGGCGAGGAGCAAAGAGGACAATCGCCATGGGGACATGGTGCAAAGATGTCCACGCGAGTCCAAGCTTGAGGCGTTTGACGAAGCGCCTTTTCAGGGCCAGCCCTACAAGGCCATTCATCATTCTTGGATCTTTATACCTGAATGTACTGACTGGATCAACAAAGAAACTTTGAAACCAACAAACAGCAATTTCCGTCCCGTGGGTGTAGATGCATGTGCCGACAAAAACGTCGACGGCAGCCGTCACGTGCCATGTTGACCATTGTCTCTCCGATTTCATTCCACTTGGCCCTGCAGCTCGCCTCCTTTTTCATTCATCGGACAGCAGCACCTTAATCACGCCTACAATACGCGATACATTCAGCATGTCGAGCCCAGTCCGTATGACAAGGGAGTGGCACGGCTCAGCGCTGCCCTTGCATGTCACAATCCCGCTGCCCTCACCAGCCGAACTGGTGCGGCTCTGCACCAAATCTCACCCCCTTGGTTATACCGTCGGCATGCCCTACCCAGATGCGGATTCTCCTGTTTTTTGGATCAAGTATTGTTCGTCCATCATATGGAACGAGCTGGCCGCACAGAAAATGGCTCATGATGGACTTGGCGAGCTCAACTCCCCAGTCAAGGCACCGGCGGTCTATTATGGCTGCCAGGTGACTGTCCATACAGGTGACCCCGATGCGTGGCCTCAACGTCGATCATATGTTGTGATGGAGTATATTCCAGGCAAGACTGCGGCTCAACGCTTGAAAGAGGCAACTGATGATGCGACCAAGGATGACATATACAAACAAGTAGCGCTGGCTTTGTCAGAGTTGCATCGCATCCCGGTGCCCCAGAACTCGCGTCCCGCAGCTGTCAACGGAGAGACCATATGCAACGTGCTCTTTTACGACAACGTGGCCTCACTACATTACAGAAATGTAACTGAATTAGAACAACACTTTAATGCGGTACGTGATGCCTTGAGGTAATACTCGCATCATGTCGTCATTCTGACAATTCTCCACGCCTTAGTTTCTCTCCCTGACAAGACAAAAACATCGCGTCAAGAATCTTGCGCAAGAACCCATGGTATTTTGTTACTCGGACATTTGGCTAGGCAACTTCATACTCGATGATGAGGGCCGCGTTACTGTGGTGGACTTTGAACTCGCGAGTATCCTGCCGTCTAGCTTCGCCAAGTTTGCCCTGGCCGATTCCCGATCGAAAATGAACAGAGACATTGGACCCATGGTGGTAGTTCCACAAGCAAAAGACATTGACAACACACGCGCACTTAGTGCCATTTCATGCCTAGTACAGGTGCGGGCAGGGTTTGCAAAGGCCGGCCGCAAAATTCTTGGATATTATGAGATGGAAGAAGTTGACAGGGTGGATAAATTGGTGACAGACGAGCATGGACAACCCGTGTCTGCGCCGGCCGAGACGTCGGTGATCCCGGAACCAGAACCAGAACCGGAGCCGGAGCCGGAACCGACAGTAGATTACTCTGTGCAGCGTCTACCGCCGCCCATTAGCCCAGGGTGGGAGCAGAAGTGGCGACAATATATGGGCGAGGAACACGTCACACAGGCGAAATCGAAGTCCCCCTTATGCCTTAAATAAGCTTCAATTTCGCCCAACCACGACGTATTCAATGAGCATTGCACAGAGAACGCAAAACAAACCCATCATTTCCAGCATGCTCACTGCAAGACGTGTTACTCTTGACGTGTCGGAGAAGGCAAAAAGCCTCCGAGAGCCCAGCAGTATGGCCAACGTCAACACGGGTGACACTTTGTCCTGCTCTCGACATACTCGGCACCAGTGTTGAAGCATTTTTATTGCCTTCATGGCGTTTTCAGAGCTGGGCGCCTGCACCAGAAGAGCCACGAGAAAATTGGACACGAGACGCCGTGTCCCTTGTCAGCACGACGAGACATTCATCGGCCCGGAGGCCACAACTCAGGTCCGGAAGTGCACGCCACACATACACTACTAATATGAGATGGGCAAAGTAGGTGGTAGTTGGATATACATAGGTGCCAGGCCTCATGGTGTAGAGACTGGCCTTGGATGGCTCGGGTACAGGTATAGAAGCGCGTCATGCGCTGAGCTGGTCAAAAAGGGGCTTTGCGGCTTGAGTCGACGGTTTTCAGTCTTCAGTAAGCTTCTAACATGCAACGAAGAGAACTGAAACAGCGCCAGTGGCGTAAAAGTTTTAGCATAAAAGTAGCCGCGGAAACATACCAACGTGATTCTTGTATCGAGTCTGCAACCCCAGCAAGACGGGCCATATCTCGAAACGCCGTGTATGAGTTGGAAACAAGTGTCTCCGAGTATGGTGCATGATAGCGTTCAAAGTTTATACTATCAAGCTCACTCGTATTCCATTCGTGGCGTCTTAGGGGGGATGTCCTAGGAGCAATACATCCACTTGTCTTCGATGAAGACACGCCACTAAAGCCTTTGGCGAAGTCTTTATTCTCGTGCCGGGATGCCAAACATGCGGCACTCAACATGTAGCTCCAAGCCATGACCAAGGCCAACAATAAAGCCCATAAAGGACCATGTGAATGGAGTATCAGAAGAGGCACAACAGCATCGACCACTGCTGGCTTTGTGCAGATATCGCAACGCGGCTTCGAATATCGATAACCGCGATCGGTGAAGGGCTTCTTGGATAGGTCAAGTTTGTAGACAATGCGCCCTATTTTACCTGGTGGAGGGTGGTGATAATCGTACGTAACGGCGAGTTGATCGTCGTATACCGCTGCAGCAAGTGGGTTGGAGTGCTTTCTAAGACTGCGTTCAGGGACTGACTCGATTGACGTGAGGCCGAATTGCCATCGTGAAATAATAGGTAGGACTGGGAATGCGGATTTGGGGAATCTCGGGCTGGTTAGTCCATCCATGATGCTGGGTTGAGGCGACATTCGGAACTTACAATGGAACCGTGTCCCATGTGCCGGAGAGAACAACTTAGAAGGTTTCTAGCTCAGTTCTCATGAGGTTCAGCGGCTCAAGCAAAAACGACTTTAATATTCAGACTAAGCCCAATCAGGAATCTTCCCTCAACTTTATATTTGCGCCATTATTAAGCAACACTGGGCATCTAGTTCAACCAGAGGCGGGGTCTAGCACAATGCCCGTTACACATCGCTCCGCTGCCCACGGAATCGAGGCCGTGTTTCTACCTCCCAATATTCTGAATGAAGGAAGGCAAGAGTGCTTATCGAAAGCTTGTTATCGTTGGCGATGGCGGTTGCGGGAAGACCTGCCTGTTGACGTGAGTTTTTCTTTCTTTGGCAAGATTCTACCAGACCCCACCGTGGAATACGGGCCTCTTTACTTTTACATCCAACCCGTTATCTATACTAAGATAAATGCAGTGTCTTCTGCAAAGGTGTATTTCCCGAGGTAAGACTACTGTCATTAATTGAGCAAGTATTCCAGTGCCTCTCGGATAGCCCTGCATTTGACCTTGGCCACATAACGTTTACGTCCTGAAAACCGTGACGACTTTTACCAATTCCCTGATATACTAATTTTCGCCAAGGCATATGTACCTACCGTATTCGAGAGCTATGTTCAACAAGTTCAAGTTGATGACACCTCCGTCGAGCTAGCTCTATGGGACACAGCAGGCCAAGAAGAATATGACCGCTTTCGTATCCATTCATACCCCAATGCCGATATTGTTTTGGTCTGCTTTGCTCTCAATAACTCTGTTTCTCTTTCCAATATTGAGAAAAAGGTAATTCTATTCATGTATTACAAACACACAATCAACAACTGCCAACTACTCTTTCTGTACTTAGTGGCATCGCGAAGTCTCTCAATATTGCCCCAATGTCCCCATCATTTTAGTCGGTTGCAAGAAGGATCTGCAGAACCAGCAATATAGGTCTAATGTGACCAGTAACTTGGCGCAGACGAGTACATTTACAATCCCGAAAAAGGTAACTTGAGCATCTCTGATCGAAGATCGTAACGCTGTGATTATCGTCACACAGGATTTGACGTGGATTGCGTATACATGCAGCCTGTGCTAACAGATCCTACCAATAGATCAGGAAGATACGAAAACTGCTAAAAGCTGTCGGTTACATCGAGTGCTCAGCGTTGAGCGGCGAGGGGGTACAAGACGTGTTTAAAGTAGCTGCTACTCATGCTGTCCAATGCCAAAGCAGTTCCAATAAACAAGACGGGTGTATTATTCTATAATTTGACGTTTTCATTTCGGAAGACAGATAAAGCAGACTAAATACACGCGCAATAAAATACTCTTCATCCAACCCCGAACCTTGTACTCTTAGTGTTTCCCTCCTAATTTTGAACCGTCGTTGCATCATCTTGGCTCACAAACGTAGCTGGACACCGGCGTGTCCTGTTGACCTTGAAGTCAAATACATCCAGTCGTTGGTAGCCGCCCACGACGTCATGGTACTGTTTTCCTTCAACACAGTCCTCCACGTTTATATCCGCGTACAAGATTCCCTCAACATCTTGCAAAAAGGGAGTAGGCGTTTGGGTCTGTGTCTCATTGTTGACAGTAAAGCCTGTCAACTGCGCTCCCGTAGGATCCAGAAACATGGTAGCGCCGCGCTGGGAGTTCTCCAACACGCGCCTCAAATGCGCGGAGCCGCCGGAAATTTCCTCAATCGAATCCTGTCCCAGCATGCCACAGCAGAGGACACCAAAACATTTGGCTTCAAAACAGTGGCCAGCAGCACGAGTTCGATTGGCTGCAACATTGTCATAGTTTGCGCCGCGTGATGCAGTTGGACGCGTCGCATCCTTGCCATCTCGGGAGGGATCAAGCCGGGTTGGCCATATCGCCGGCCAAGTCGATATGTGAATTTGTTCACCCTGGGCCATGAGAGCATATCTGGCGAGCGGGTTGGTGTTCTCGCCACAGATCAGGTTGCCAATTTTTCCAAACGGCGTTTCGGCAACTCGCAAACCATGGCCATCGCCGGGGGCCCAGGTGAGCTTCTCAAAAAAAGTCGGTACCAACTTCCGATGATGAATAAGAACTTCACCCTGGCCGC